AACAATATATTTTGGTGATGAATTATTGCAATTTTTATGTTAACAATTATAATTCTTAACGAAACATTAAAATTTTTGCTTGTTAACTATTGCAACTTTTAATTCTCTATATAAGGAGTTATGGGAATTGACAAATCTATTAATAAAATAAAAACATATATGTAGAAGAGATAAAGACAGAGATTTACTTTTTAGTTAATCATCAAAGATTTTTTTTTAAACATTAAATACGGAAAACTTCTTTTTATTATTTATGTATCTTAGCCAAAACCAAAAATAAGATTTTGATTGTTTTATTGTACAAATAAATTTTGTGTAACATAAGGCTTGGAATAATGTTAAATATGCAGTGGTTTTCATGAATTTTTAATGACTTAGATAAACATATAATAAGACATATATCTTATTTTGTATTGACATTTTGTAACTTTCTTATAACCAAACCTATAATCACAATATAGATTTTTAGTATTGTTAATAATGGAATATAGATGCATGCAAGATAATTTTGTAACACGTGTATTTAAAAAAATGAGTTTCCTTAAGATATCCCACGTAACTATAACAGAAAGAACGAAAACGGAAACCCTATTTTCTCCCATATTTCGCCTGATGTGCTCTTGCGTTGTCTCTGCTATGGTAGTCACTCCATCAGGACCAAAAAGAAATCTCCATTGCTGGTCCGAGCTTCCTCTAGATCTCACGCGATTGGTCTTCGAGCGCCTTAGATTTGCTGATTTCGAACGAGCTAAATCCGTTTGTCCATCATGGATTTACCCGGACGAGCTAGCTCAACTGGTAACACCTCAAGCAATTGCTTGAGAGGTCACGAGTTCGAGTCTCGGGCGGGGAGGAGTGTCCAGGGCCGTAAAAGGTACAGACGCAGGCTGGCTCCGGGCCTGGGGGGGATTAAGGCCGAAGGCCCGAACCCATCCCGGTTAAACAAAAAAAAAAAAAAAAAAATCCGTTTGTCCATCATGGCGATCCGCTTGGAGACAATCTAAGCCGAAGAATCAAATCCCTTGGTTGTTTCTGATCCCCAAAGACAGGAACTACGCTCTCTTGTTCAATCCTGAAGAAAAATACAAGGTTTACAAAAACTCAAGATCTGCCGCATACAATGCATTAAAAAGAATTTGTGCTTAGCTCTCAAGGAGGAAGAGACCTTTTGGTGGCAAAAGAGCAGACATAAATGGCTGTTCCTGGGCGACAAAAACACTAGTTATTTCCATGAATCAGTGAAAGGAAATCGTTCCAAAAAGTTCATTGAGAAGCTTATTGATGGAGATGTGTTGATTGATAGAGCTGCTGTAGTTCCCTCTTACTTTCCAAACCTGTTCAAGTCTTCCAATCCTGATAATTATCAAGACTACGTGTCCGAAGTTGAAATAAAAGAGGCAGTTTTTTCAATCAAGCTTTCAAGTGCTCCTGGTTCTGATGGATTCACTGGTTTTTTCTTCCAAAAATGTTGGGGCATAGATGGTGCTCAAGTCACTTTAGAGGTTCATAACTTCTTTCTCTCTGATTCCTTTCCAGTTGATTGGAATTATACCCTCCTGAAGCAGAACATATGACTGACCTGCGTCCTATAAGTTTATGTTCTGTTATATCTAAGGTTTTAGTGAATAGTTTAAAGCCTTTGTTACCTGCCCTGGTCTCACCTATTCAGTCTGCTGAGTAGTTATTAATGACTTCATGTCTCTTAAATCTGATATCACCAAGGAGAGTGGAACTATTTACGACCATTAATGTTAGGTGCATTTGGGTTTCATCAGAAGTGGATTATGCTTTGTGCACTTATGTTACGTATTCTGTCTTGATCAGTGATCAGCATCACGACATAATCTTTCCTCAACGTGGAATCAAACAAGGGAATCCTCTTTCCCCCGTTCTTTATGTTCTTTGCTCAGAGGGACTGTCTCATCTTCATAATATGGCTGAACAGAAAGGTTCCTTAGGACCTTACAAGGAGTAAAATTCTCTGAAAATGGTCCTTCCATTCATCATCTCTTTTTTTTTCGCTGATGATAGTCTCTTTGTCTACCGTGCTTCTTCAGATCAAAGCAGAACTTTAAAGAAGATCGTTGATGATTATGGTCGAGCAACAGGTCAAATGATCAATCCAGCAAAATCTTCTATTACTTTTGGTGAGCACAATGACCCTGCTACTCTCTTAGCTAGAGATTCAGAATATCTTTGGCATCTTTAACATTGGTGGAGTTGGTACGTATTTAGGACTGCCAGAATGCTTCAGTGGTTCTAAAATTGCCTTTCTATATTATGATAAAGATAGAATGAATTCGAGATTATCAGGTTGGTATTAGAGGTTTTTATCAACGGCTGAAAACAGTGGCAGTTGCTATACCTTTATTTGTCATGTCCTCGTTTTAAATTGCCTAAGACTGTTTGTGCCAACGTCTCCCCTGCTAAGGCAAGCTTTTGGTGAGATACTGAAGAGCATGAGAAAAAATTCATTGGATTAATTGGAATAAACTCTGATTACGTAAAGCTTCAAGGTGGAATGGGTTTAAGGATCTTGAATGCTTTAATCAAGCTCTATTAGCTAAGCAAGGTTGGAGGTTCATTCAGTTTCCTCATTGTCTATTTGCTTGCTTTATAAAAAGTTGATAATATGATAATGATCAGTTTCTGAATGCATCTTTAGGTTTTAGACCTTCATATGGGTGGAGAAGTGTCATCCATGGTCGAAATTTATTGAGGCAAAGTTTAAGAAAAGAAGTTGGCAATGGTGAATCTCTTCTTGTTTGGTGTGATCCTTGGATATTGGATAATGGTAGTCTTCGTATACCATTGATGAGGAATAATTTTGTTAATAGATGTGCATCGTCGGAATTGGAACTTTTCTCTGCTATCTGAACTCCTTTTCCCTGCTGAATGTCCATTCTTCAGTCTTCACCTGTGGTATCTAAGGATGATTTCTGGACTTGGTTGCACAATAAATATGGGAATTATTCTGTCAAATCCGGCTATTTGGTTGGCCTGCGAAATCAGCAGGAATGAGGTGATTAGAGAGCATACTGTGCTTCCTTGTCTAAATTTTCTTAAGGAGCACGTATGGTCACTTAAAATCAAAAAATTTATTTGGAAAACTTTGAGTGATGCTATTCATGTGGTTAATTGTCTTCTACATGCTCTCTAGCTCGCCACGTCTGGGCTTTATCTGACTTTCCAACGCTGCAAATTGATTTCGAGTCAGGTGCTTTGTTTTCAAACTGCTACTACTAAGCATTGAGTTTCCATGGATTCTTTGGGGGTTTATGGAAGAATAGAAACTCCTTTTTATTTGATGGAAAAATGTTTGAACCCTTCAGATCTTATGGAACATATCAAAGATGAGGCGGCTAATTGTTTTTTAGCTCAAGAAGTTCGGAATAGGGATACTCAATTGATCCTAAGTAATGATATGAGTGCAGTTAGCTGTAAAAAGAGTTTTTGGAAGCCTCCTCAAATTGACTGGATCAAATGTAATACTGGAGTCAGCTGGTGTAAAAAAAGATCAGTAGCTGGCTGTGCATTGGGTGAATTTAGTTATATTTTGAAGTGGCAAAGCTTCACTGTTTGTTGGGGGAAATTCAAGATATGATACATCTTCATTTTAATAGAGTCATATTCGCTCTTCAAGCGCCGGATCTTGTTGGTGTGATTAACAGACCGCAGGCATGGCCATCATTCACTTACTGAAATCTCAAATCTGCTTTCTTACATCAGCTCTTGGAAAATGGTGGGTGAATCTTCTTCGTCTGATATGATGGCTGCTCAAATAGCTCGAAGTGTCACGTCTGAAAACAGATTTCAATCTTCTGTGGCCCAGGTAGCTTCATCTCTTGTGCTCAAAAAAGAGTCATGGTATATCCGCAAAAAATTTTGTCATAAATTTGAGCTCATTTTTTTTTGGTGTTGGTTGGTGTTTTGTTAGTCGCTGACCCTTCTTGCCTCTTGTAATACTTCCCTTCTGCACTCTGTACAGATTGTCTGTTTATTAATATCATCAGATGACAAAAAGAAAAAACTAAGATTTTATGGGCCTACAATGAGTGAGCTTCTAATAAGATTTTATTACAGCTGGTGGATATTAACCCTTAAAATTTTAGGGGTTCAATACCAATTATTTCATTTTGTTATGCCAATGATCGGCAAGAGAGTTTGCAATCTACTGTTAGTCGTCATTACTTCGCTTAATCTATGTAGGCACTTCTAGAAATTGGTTGAGCTTATTTGAGCATGTGGATTACTTCGATTTTGCCTAGTAATTCCTTAGAGACTTGAAGACCTACAGCAAAGTGGCGAGCAACACAGTTCTAGTGGTTGTTGACAATCTGCAAATCACACAGTTTTGTTCATAGAATTATCTTATCTTTCTTGTTTGTTTGTAATTTTTTTCTTTCGTTGGAACACAAATTGTTACAGAGTGAATAGCCAATTCAGTAAAATGGTATCCAAAATTGCCTAAGCTCCAACTTGGGTTTCTTTTAAAGAAGCAATTGCTCTGTGTTTTCACTTGAATACTCTGTTTTATTCAGTGAGCAAAATGTCCGTATAAATAGCCTTACAAAGATAACAAGAAGATCCTAAAACAAAGCCACTAAAACCTTGACACTTTCAAACGATACTCCCCATCATTCTTGTCTGGGATTTGCTCTAACATCTTTTGGTTTGATATGAGAGTAAGCGGCAATTGAACAAGAACAGAGGATTCTCTTGTAGATCATTCAAGTACAGAGGGCTCAAAAACTAGTTTACGGAAGAATGGTGATTATAGAAACAAGCTTTTTAGCTAGTCTAAATTGTACATACAGAGTGATTGTTTATTTTAGTTCGTTTTGAGTATATATAAAAATGAAAGAGAATTCAGTCAAAACAAAAAGATAGATAATTCATTTTCTTATTAAGATAATAATATGCGCACGGGTCACCTTCATAAACTTTAATATAAGCATCAATAACAGGAGAAACAACAAACCGAACTAAGTATTATTTTTTTATAGTGTTTTTACTTCTTCGTTAGTCTCCGCCCTTGCTGCTTTAGCAAAACCGATCTTTTTTTTTTTTGACAAAGCAAAACCGATCTTTGGTCTCTCGAAATCTTGAAAATCAAAAACCGTATGGGTAGCTTGCATGAACGCCATACCCAAAACCCTAAATTCAAATCCAAATCCAGTGATTAATTTATAACTCATAGAATTAGTTAGAGAAATATTTAGCTTAACAACGTTACAACTTACCATGTGTCATCGTCACTCACCACCAAACGAAGTTTGCATCGTGTTGCACCGCGACTATCTTTGTATTCGTATGCGTACTTCAAAAAAAAAAAAATATATATATATATATATATATATCTTAATATATATATGTCAAGAAAATGGGTAAACAACTAAAAGTATAGAGAATTAGGATCTTACATTCTTTATGGATATACTCTTTCCTCCAATTAGGAAGGAGATCACCGGCAACTTTTTAACTTTGGAGCATGCGATTTCGTTTTTTGTTGCACCAAATTCTTCATAGATCTTCTTGATTTTATCCTACACATCAGAGAAACAGAATTTAACATTCACACAAATCAAAACAACAACATACGATATAAACTGAAGTAATGTATATACGAATTACCTTTGGACCATATATGTCCGTCGTACCAGAGTCCACCTTTGCAAAGCATTGTGGTATACAGACTTTGATATCTTTTCCTTTAACAGAAATCCGACTCATGGAAATGTTCCAAAAGCCGTTCCCCCACACAGGAACATATACATGTTCGCCACGGAAGTGTTTGGTGTTGAATCCACCAAAAATTATTTCACCAGCGTCTTGAACTTCGTCTACATGTCCATCTTCATCTCCCTTCATCCATATCGAGAAAATTCCTTTGCTTATTAAATTTCTGTCCACCAGATTCTTCAAGACGGTTTGAGTTCCAGCGATCCCCAGAGAGGGCAACCCCAGGCCAACAATCCCATCAAATTTGACCAGTTTAAGGTCTTCATCTGGTTCAAAACCAACAAGGAAATCCTGCGCCTCAAGGATAATCCCTCCGAGGATTAGGGTATCTTGGGATAAGTCACCTCTCAGTGAACCCCGTGTATATGCAAGATCATATCTTTTTCCGTCTGCAAAACGAGAGATTGATTAGTCGAACGAGAAGAAAAAACTAATTTAGGGTTAATGACTAATTTAAGATTCTTCAAAAAGAAATACATATTAAAACGAGGTAGAAAATAAGACAATATCATCTCGGGTAGTCCCTAAAATATTCATCAATCATAGCATGTGTTAAGTACGAAGAGAGAGAAAGAGATTGATTACATTTTCATAAAACGTAGTCTTAAATCATAATTGAGGAAGCTAGCTATATAAAATAAAACTTAAGTACAAAAAGAGAGAGAGATAGATAGATATCATTTACATTTCATAAAACTTTTTTCTTGAAAAAAAAAAAACATTTCATAGAACTTAATCTGAGCAAGCTAACTATATAATATTGTTTTGCTAAAATAAAGCATCGTTTAAATATATTTTTATGGACTAGAGATGTGATCACGCTGAGTGTATCGAAAAGCGAGAAAACTCATCCGTTCCGGTTTAATTAAGTTTGGAAAAGACTGATATTTTAAATTGAATTCAGACCAAATCCGGTTAAGCCTTGTGAATATAGTGTCGTTTTGTTATATGAAAGTCGAAAGACTAAGAACAAAAATTAAAAAAGAAGAGTAAACGAATGATGACCTTTATCTTGACGGTAGGTCTTTGATGCCTTGGCATTAAACGTTTGGTGAGGATACGTGGTTACAGGCCACAACGTTGACGGAATCCAAACATTTGAACTCCCGGTATCGAACACTACGTTAAAGTATTGTGGTGGAGTGCCAACACAAACTTCTCCATAATATACCACATTTTTAAAATGGCTCAAGCTAATAACTCCGACATTAGTAGTCATTCTCTTGATTTTCAAACTCACTGAGGCATTTGATGTTTGTAACTCACAGATGATCATAGATATCAAGAAAAAACTCTTTAAACTAAACATTTTTGGATAAGTTTTCTAGAGAGAGTATTGAAAAGAATCGGTGATGAATAATGAAAAGAAGCGATATGTCAATATTTATAGGCAACAAGTCTTGTTATTCCTTAGTAGGTTGATATTAATTACAGCCTTCATCCCAATCTAAGTAAATGATCAACGTACAACCAAAAACAAGTTTTTGAGAAAAACAAACAAATTAGTTGAATGACTGATTTTTTTTACTAATTTTGTTTAATTGTTAGTAGTATATAATCTTTTAGATGGTTTATATTTAATATGATTTGTTACACTTAAATCAAAACATTTTGAAATCTAACAACAAAAACGGATAATAACTGTTATAACATGTTAGCCCTGTTCGTTTCTCTAACGCAGTTTCAGAGACGCGCGACCAGAAAATAACAAGCAGGAGAGAGAAGTTTCAGTGGAGGGTTAGTACGGAGTTGCCGCCGGCGGTGACGCTGGTCTTCTTTTCTGGGTTTTTATCACCGCTGTTTTAATCAGCGTCTCCCGCACAACCTTGAGTTGCCGCTAGCGGCTACTATTAGCATCGTCCAAGCTTCCTTTTTTATTGATTGCTGAGTTGTCACTTCAGTTTCTTTGTTTTTTTTTATAACGCGGACGCTGCCGCAGCGTCTTCAGAAAGAACAGGGCTGTTATGTATATGTGATATATTATGGTTTTTGAAAATCCTTTTTCGAAAAAAATAATATACAAATAGGAAAAAGAATTGGCAACCGCTTGAATTCCTTTATAGTTAATACTTTAATACTTAATAGGGTATAGTAAAAGCCTAAAAGGACTATCAGTCAAAACAAAACCATCTCAATTTTCAAACACTAAATGTTATCATGTGTTTATATTAATTTTATATTAATACTGTGGTAACGTTTTATAAAAATTCGTTTTAAAAATATATTAAAAGAACACAATATAGGTATAGAATATTCATGATATGAAGCTTAACTTAATCGTTTTAATATTATATGAATGTGATATCTACCTACTTTTTATTATTTCCCAACATATATATGATCGAGTATTTTAGCAACGAATTAGATTGAGAGAAGTCTTAGATGCAAGTTGACACTAGGGCTGGGCATTTTATCCGTTATATTTGATTCGATTCGTTATTCGTTTCGATTCGATCCGAAAATTCCGGATATCCGTAAATTTCCGAATCAAAGCAAATACTAAAATTCAATATCCGTTAAAATCGAAGCAAATCACAAATAGTAAAATTTTGGGAAACGGATATCCGATCCGATCCGTAAATATATAAATATATGTATATCTTGATTATATTTAACATTTTAAATGTATAAAATTATATAATTATTATTCTAGCATATGATTTTGAACAATTCTATTCAAATTATTACTTATATAAAAGTATTACATAAAAAGAAAGAAAGAAAATTATGACAATTATATTTTTTTCTTAA